GAACTTTCTATTTTGAGCTGTTATTTAGTAATTCGATTTTTGTTCTTTATTCTGGATTATTCTCTCTGCAGACAATTTATGGAACTGGGCAAAAGACGTACCACTCTGACGATGTATAAGCAAATTATGCTCTGGTCCTCTAAGCATTTCTCAGGCTTAAGTGATGCAAAGGTCAGCTGTTCAAAGACACACACCTGAGACAGTGCAAAGGACCTCTTGATTTGGCCTGGCAGCCAGAGACAAACACTGTCAACTGTGTTTAATAGAACAAAGAACTGCGTAAATGAAGCTTATTGGGACTTTTTCCTTTTAAGGAAAGTCTTTTTGCCTTTCCTTATGTTGATTTTCCACAAGGGAAGCAAAGGAAATATGTCCTTCCTTCTATTTAGAGAATGACATCGTGGAACACCAGAATGACTGATCTGAATGACAAAGAAGGTGAAATTAGACATAGTAATTGCAGTAGATGGGACAGGAACTGTCCTTTTTCCTTTTCCTCACATACTGGTGAAGACAAAACAAATACCCACAGCCTATCAAGTGTTTATCTTGAGCTTGCTTTTTACCAAAATCCTGCATTTTGTTGAAGCCATCCCCAAAAACATTCCACAGTGTCATAAAAAAAATCAAAACCAGAAAAGGAAGTTTGTTTTTGAATATTACTGCAGAACAAAGCCATGCTGATTCTTCATAGTTTAAAGGTTAATAAATTCATGCTTTCAGAAAACAAATTTATGCTTCTTTACCAAGAGTGGTTATACATGTACAAATGGCTGAGGCAGACTATTTCAATATTAGCCATTATTTATTATTCTCAGTTTTATTCCTTGAAGAAATGTAACCACGTAATCTAAACATTTTGTCATTTCCTTTCAACATGTTCGTTTTACTCAGCACAACAGTTCTTGCCACATAAGAAACAGCCCCAAGATTTTTATGTATGCACAAGAAATCATGCAGGGAAAAGGGGAGCAGTATCCAGCACCACACAGCAGCATGCATGCAGGGCAACACAGCACAAGCATCCCCTACAGCATGAACACAGAGCCATCAATACTGAAATTGGTGGCTTCACCTGATCCCCAGCCATTTCCCCGAATACTGTGAGAGCAAATAGAAACAAATATTCATCCAGGAGCTCTACAACTGTACCATTGTCATCTTCATTTTGGAACTATTTTTCACCACCCTTGTTCTCACCAAGCACAGGAACAGATTACTACACATGAAAGGATGGGTAAGCAACCAAAAGGATTCTTTACCTGCTACTCACATAAAACAGGTCTTTGGTGAGACTCACGGAAAACCACTTGGTAACTAGAGTCCAAATCAATGGAATGATGTAACGTGTTTCACCCCACTCCACGTAATTCTTCCAGCCACCACCCCCAACCCCTTGCCATTTGTACATCCGTTCTTCAGAAAACAGGATGCTTATTTTAATCATAAAAATTCCCCTCACCTAATTTTAGCATTGTTCTTTCTCAAATGTTAATTTTTCATTGTAGCAGCTGCGTATTTAATAGACATGCTTCTTTGTAAGCAAGTTACATGAAGTTCACATGAAATAAAAAAAATTGCAACTGTCCCCTCTTCAGAACTCTTAAACATCCACATTTGTTTTTCTCACTTCACTTCACTCACATTCAGTCACTCTTAAATGAGGTTAGTAATGTCATAAATACATCAACCATATTGATTTCTTGGAACTCTGTCCAGCCATAGTTCCTCAAGGATTAGGGAGAGGGTTAAAAAAAAAGGAAAAAAAAAAAAGGGTGGTGAAACAATACAAGACACAATTAAGGTTACTCACGAATATTTCTGTTTCAACGCTCCTGTCTCATCTTCTTCCATTATATCTAATATCTATTACTGACAGCATTGTGGATCCACATATAAGGAGAGGCAAAGATTTGTCAAATCAAGCATTTTATATGCCCTGATCCTCAGTTATAGCATCTTTGAAGAAAGTGGAGGAAGAAAGAGAGATTAAACCAGTAAAAATAAAAATATTAGAAATCCAAGAAGCACTTTTTTTGTGGAGGTACAGGAAAGTTGCAGGATGAGAAAAGAGAAGGCTGTGATCAATAAACGACAAGTTACTAGCTTTTTGTTTGCTACAGCATATGCAGTAGCAAAGATTTTGTGACAGCAAGTGGATGAGCAGAATGCCAGAGGAGTTGGAATTATCACTGAGCGGAGCCTGGCAGATCTAATGACCAAAAAAGCCATGTCAGTGTATGAAGGCAAGGCTGAGTGTTTATGCAGGAGACAGTCTTGCATATTTCAGTGGAAGGTATCTCTAGAAGCAGCTACACTAATTCAACAGCATTTAGCTATTACAGGCCTTGGTTAAGTAAGAGAATGTCTTCTAAAGACAGCAGCTGAAAATGGCTTTCAAAACAAAATTATTTAGCACTAAGCATATGTTTGTAAAGGAAAAGCTCTAAGCTTGCTACAAAAATTGAGCAATGCTACATGCAATGTGATACAGGTGAATCCAAGCACCCTTTGAGCATAACTGATCTAAAGCTATGAACTGACTGGAGCTTGATTTATGAAGAAACCAGAAAGCTGAAATTAGAGCAGCTGTGGGTTGCTCTAAACAGACATCCCTGTGCGAAAACAATTCAGTGGAATGTCTCCAAACTATTTTCATTGGAGTCCTAAGCACATGGTTATTTGTCTAAAAATAAGGACTACAGATCAGATATAAAATGGAAGTAGCTGGCCACACCTTTAGTAGGCCTGCCTGGGAAGAACATGAGGATGCAGGAAGTCAGCTGCCAATAGATGGAACCGGAAGAATAACGAACCCCCATTTTTGTATGTTAGTTTAGAAGATAACATCTCTGATAGTATCAACAATGCCAACCTTCATTTTATTTAAAACTTTCCCTGGTGACCTGATTTTGCATACCACCCAGTTCAGTCCTAGTTCCAACCCAGTAAGCAACAAATAAGCACAAATGTAGCTGGACACGTAGCCTCCTGAGATGTAGTTTTACAGAGAAAGCAAAATACCTTTGCAGCATGAAAAAATACGCAAATCTCAACCAAATGCCAAGGGAGATAGTATTAAAACAGCATTTGTCAGCTTTAAAAAAAAAAGTTTACATGGGTGGTTTGCTCAGAGAAACATGCAACTATCTACTGTGGCTTAAGCTGTTTTCTTGCAGCTTGTTATCAAGCATACAGGTAGATACCCATCCAATCCTGTACTCTATGAAATTAGTTTGATAAAATCTATTTTATGTGACATGGCACAACCACATGCCAGTATTATTAACAAGGAGAACTAAATGCAGAGCTCTAGCACAACTTAAAGGTAACAGAATTCTTCCTGACTTCACTTAGGCTCACCCAAAATGACTGGAGAAAAGGGGAAAAAGCCATTTAACTCTTAATGAAAAATGGGCTGGACATGGAGACCAGGTTTCTGGAAAATTTTTAAGTAATGTTAGGGCAACACTGCCCATCAAGTTTAATGTGAAATTAAAGGTTCCACAGGCAGACCTTACATCTGATTTGAAGCTAGATCCTGAAACCAGAAGTCAAGCATCCTGGAGATTTACTTCATAAATACTTATTACGCTCATCGGATTAGGTGGATTTGAGGACATGATGGTCCAGGAACTCTGCAAGAAGCATGTAATTTGAGTGATGCATAAGCAGTCATGAAGTCTATAAGGGGAGAAGCAGCAGAATAATGTGAAGACCACCAGTCACATGGTTTGCTCAAGGCAGAGCAAGAGCTTGGTTGGATGCTTGAGAAGAGCTGCAGAAAGGAGAAGAATCTGGGAGATAATTCTCAATGAGGAAATACTCAGAGCTGCACACATTCACACAGATTTCTATTTTAAAAATCAGCTTGAGGTTTGTTTTTTTTTAAAAAAAAAGTGTAAATGCAATTATCAGAATAAAAACTACTACTTCAACTGCTTCATCCTTTGCTGTGAACATGCATAAGACAGAAGTCCTCAGAGGTAGGACAGCAAACATGCCCACCCAGAAAGGAGGAAGAAGGGCAGCACAGCTTGGATCTTCTCAGGAGAAAGCTCTCTGGGATGAAAGCAGATGCCAAAGTTAGCACAACATCCTGTTCACCGGAGGACAGGACTGAACACTTTGTATTTAGTCACACTGAATATGACTCAGTAGGATCTCTTTCTGCTACATTCCTCAATGAGGAAGCAGGTGGTAAGACAGATTTCTGTCTTCCTTGCTTTGTCTGTCTTTCAACTTACACAACCATCTTGTCTACTTCTGTATTAAGTCAGTAGTAAAAGCATGCAAAAAGCAGCATGTTCCCTGCTTCCAAAATGCAAAAGGCAAAAACCCGACCATGAAATGAAAGTAGCTTTATAACTTTTTCCCTCCTTGGCAGAAAAAAATGTATCAGCCAAAATGCTGTGAGTAATAGCTGTCAAAACCAGAATGCCAAATGAAGAGCATGCAATAAAGCAAAATCAAAACCAAAACCCAACAAAACAACACAAAACTAAATAAACCCACCAAAATAACCTCAACCAATCCACCCCTAACAAAACAATACCCACAATGTTCTTTAAGCAAAGTGAAGCATATTTTATGAACAGCAACTGCAATGGGGTCTTTATTTTTAGAGCAGAAGGACTTTTAATTCAAAGATTTGTGGCTTTTAATCTACAGACTTCATGTTTCAGATGGCAAAAATGATGGGACTAAATGGTCTTAATGTCAATCCACAGCTGAGATCCAAACATCAACTTAATTCATAATTAACTGTGGGCTTACACATATTATATGGACATATAACATACACATGCACAGAAGGAACGGGTGCATTCTCATTGCATTAAGGCAGCTCATCAGCAGCAAACTGACTTTAGCTTACAGACAGATATATGCATGTAGAGTAGCCATAAGTGAGTAGCAGTGGCACATTTTTTTACAAGTGTAAATAGATCAAACAAGTACAGAGGACTAAAGCCATTGCTTGTTGATTTTGAAACACTCACTGTTATAACGTCTGTAGCTGTCAATCTTTGCCGGTGCCACTCTGTACAGAATTGTCCCTTGAAAGGCAGATTTTCCTGACAGCAAGCAAGAGAAGACAAAAAAAAAAAAAAAAAGGAGAAGGGGCAGGGTGGGGGTGAAGAGATCGAATGATGGTAAAAAGAAGGGAAAGGAAGAGGTTTTAATCTGTATTTTCAGTCACTAACATTTTTAAAGCCTCATTAGCAAAACAACGAGAATATTAACAAAAATATCTGATTGTACATGAAGTTAAAATATTCTTACTACATGTATGTCAGATAAAAGAAACTCATGATTTTGCTAAAGCTGTTTTATGCAATGTCCAACAGAATGCATTTTTCTTAGGTTTTGTCTGTTGTCCATCAGGTTATGAGACTTGCAAATGAAATTGTCTTACTCAGACTGCTTACAGAGTGAAGGAGAAGCCTGAAAAAAATCATTGCTGCAATGATGCACTCACAGTGACTCAACACTCCTGATGCAGATGTAGTGCACTTGAACAAGCACAGCTGACATCTAAACAGGGCAATGAAATACTCACATTTCTTTAACATACAAGGATCCTGTGAGCATCAGAAAGACTGCATCTTTCCAAGATGACTTATTAGAAGTGTTTTGGACAGGGGAACTGGTCTTAAACAATACTCAGTTGAAGGATAGGACACTAAATCCTGAATAAATCAATTTTTCAGCGAATAGCTTAATCAGGTGTTTGACTTGGTACACCTTAACAAAACCAAAATAGTAAATTGAAAAACAACAACAAAAAAAAGCAAACAAAATGTACTTCTCACCTCAAATCTTTAAGATATCATTTTTATTATCAAGACCATTAACTTCTTAGTTTTTTTCCTCTGATAACAATGTAACTCATGCTCTAACATTTATGATATGCAATTCAAGTGAAGGCAAAGGCATGAGCAGCAGTTTTGTGTATCGGGTTTGGGTTTTTTAAAACTTGAGGTACCCAGGCAAGCCCAAGAATACGCCAATGTCAGCTTGTTGCCAATCTTACCTATGTATACTATAATAAAAATTAATGTCTTCAGTAAAATTTTATAGCAGAATAGCCAGTACATATGAATTGTCCCAACACAGATACCACCCATTTTGGTACCTGCATAACATTCTGTTGGACTTTCAAAAAATAAAAAAAATTACGATACACTCATTTGTGTATTGTAAAAAGCTGTTTCTTTGTTCTTGCAGCTGAATTAACAACTGAAGTTTTTCCTTGCCTTATTTTTTAGAATGAGGACGTAAAGTCGCAAATCCACCTTTCCACCTTTGTTTTTACAAAATACCACTAAAAAATGCTTTACAACAGCCAAACACAATTAAGATACAGCTAAGAGGAAAGTATGTCAAGCTTCATGACATTAAGAAGAGCGAGAGAAACATTAATAGACATCTGAAGTTTTAAAAACTCAAAATACAGAGGTTGCCTGACTAAACCATTAGCTGATGAGTCTATCATCAGTTCTAACTCCAGTCGTCATGACTTCTCTGTGGCCATCACTGACAGGTTCTAAAAATAGTTGATACATACCATACGGCCTAGCATTTCCTAAACAGACACATAAAAGAGCACCAAGACATAAAGGGCCACCCTTAAATACCGTCATGACATTGCCATGAACATACTAAAATGTTTTTGAAATCATCTCCTTAATTGCCTGTGATTTCTCTCATATGGTTTATTTGACTACCTGACAACTCTTTGCTTCTTGACAGGCTGTAATAACAGGATGTGGTATTAGAATACTCTTAAAACTAAAATGTATCTGAGAAATCTAGAAAATAATCTTATAATTTAGGCATCTATTCAATAGAGTAATAAAATGATAATGTACACTTCATTAACATGTTGTAACAGTAGGTCAAAGAAAAGCAATGTTTTAATTTAAGAGGATGCTTTAAAGAACAAAGAACTGTTGTTGACTCTAAGGGTATCTGATCCTGTCCATACTTACATTCTGAAATGTGCCTTTGAAGACAAAATATTTGGCAGTCACCTTACACTTGGGGCAAATATTTTAAAAACAAACAAACAAAGCCCCAAACTCACACTCTTTTGATCTTCTAAAGGTCTCACTTTCCAATCTGTTGAGCGCCCACCATCTGAGAAGCACAGGTTCCCAACCCTTTAAAGTTATCGGCTGAGTAAAGTCCCACTGTCAATATTCAGAAATACTTAGGCACCACCAAAACTAACCCCAAACATTTTCAAGAAAGGGGCTTTTTGTTCTGAAGAAACTTTTGACATTACACTATGGCAGTGCATAGCAAAAAAACAATACCTCTGCGGCATTTACTCTGATCTGCCATGAAAGATACATGGACACAATAAACCCAATCAAATCAGACAGCACCTTGCTCCCTTTCGGGCCTGTGTAGGTCATAATAGAAGGCCAGAAAAATATGCATTTTTATTAATCTTATTCATAAAAAGTCAAAAGATACCATTTTTCTCTTCTGTAGTTCTTCCACTTTGAGTTCAACAAAAATTACATTTGCCCCTCCAAAAAGGCTCTCTTTAGAGAGGGTCAGTAAAATGTGATTGAAAGATTAATTTTAACTATGTTTAACCAAAACACTAAATTTAACTATTAATGAAAAAATACTCTTGTGTTTACTCAGTGCCCTTCTCCAAAGATCCCGCGCTACTTTGCCAAGTCGCACAGTAAACCTGCCAAGTATTACCTTATCCATTTCACAGGCTGGGCTGAAGAATTCAAGGTTGCTGCTCATGACTACAGAGCCATACTCCAACCCTCTCTAGGCCCCTCTAGAAGCTGTGTAGAACCTCAGTGACTGCCTAAGTTTTAATGTGCAGGTACAGCCCCTCATACCTGAGAGCTAATTTAATAATCTAACATTTTACACCACGTTTCTGCCTTACAAAAAAATCCTGTGATACAGAAATATTCAAACAAAATTTCCAGAGAAACAAAAATGAGTTATTTCTGATATGAAGTGCTGTCATGTCTTGACATCCACAGAAGAAGGAGTTGATCTGGAGGCATTAATGTAAATACCCTGTTGAGATACTTCCCAGAGCATTTCAACAGTGACGCTAGCTTGATGTCCAAATCTTCCAGGATTTACTTAATTGGGTTTTATTTTCTGTGTTTTAAGACTAAGTGTAGCTATCTGGAATAAGATAATCATTCCTAGTCAACTGTATAAACTTGCTGAAATTCTTGCAGTCTCTTTATTCTCAAATCCATATAATCAGTGTACCTGAATAGAGCCTTATAAAGCCCCATGTGTTGGAGTAACACCTGTAATAATTACATAAACAATATAGAAAGAAGCATATTTCCCATAATTCTGCTAAGGGAATGAAGTTCTTAAATTGATGGTTTTACTTGAAGAAAAATAAAAAAAAAAAGCAATAAACCACACATGAGAATCTCAACATTCTTTGAATCTCGGTCTCTCTGTGAGGAGGCTTACAGTGTTCATATGTTTTATAGGTATTTTGATATTTTAAAAATAGCTTCTAATAACACATCGTCTTGGCTAGCCACAAAGCACCTCAAAAGAGCTGAATTTCCTATGAGAAAAAAGAAAAACAATCTTTCTTATATAGTTACCTTCAATTTAGTTAAAGGGACAAAACCATTATCTGTGTTACTGATATTTTCTCAATACAAGTTATCACAGCTTTGGGGTTCCACTGACAGTCAGAACCAGCACACAAAACTGAGTTTGAACTAAGCATGTGCCTTTATGGATCTCAACTATACAAGGTAGTGCTTTGGGACTGCTTTCACACACTCAATTATGTGGTTTTATTAAAAGATACTTTTAGGATGTTTATTATAAAGTAAATATTACCAAATTACCTAGGGAAGGAATATTCATTCATTCCTACCAATAAAATTGGGGTATTCCATCCTGAACAGTATCACTTACCTTGTTCATTTATAAAGTACAAAACACTACAGAATCCAGAGCTGAATCTACATCTATATAATTAGTTCTTCCAAGATTCACTGTGTTTATAATGAAAAAAATACATGATAGCATATACAGGTTATAGAAAGCAGTTTCCAATTTCACCCAAATGTGTAACATCACTTAACGCCCTTCCTTTTTCCTTATCATGCTAAAATTGTCAACTTCCTTTAAAATATTTTCATACCAGTCTGAAGGAATGTCACCTTTAAATATCTTCAGCAGCACTGACCACAAGACTAGGTCACCAGTGCACTACACATGAATAGGTACTCCATTACTAAAACAGCATGAAATTTTTTCATTATTGCAGAAGTCAAGTTTTTTAGGATCTTATTTCTGTGGGATGGAATAAAGATGATAAATATGCCTTAAATGGAAAAATGGAGAAAAAGGAAGAAAAAGAAGTATTGTAATTTTCTACCTCTTACTAACAGAGTGAGCTATAAAGGCTGTGGTACATTTCAGCTGAAATAAGCTTACAAAGACCTCGGGAGTCCTTTTGCTTTTTCTTGTTCAGAGATTCAGAATACTACTACATAGCAATGAATAACATTGTAGCAGTGCTACATAGCAGTGCTGAAAACAGGAAGATCTTGGCAGATATGGTGGAGTTAGCCTGAAATATGGAAATACAATTGACTTTTTTTCTTTTCACTAAAGAACTGACCACAGATTAAGAAATAGAATATCTGTTTGAAGAACAGAAAAAACATAAAGACAAGTGTCCAGTTCATATAAAAGCATACTTTTGGTTCAGGTTATTCTCCAAGGAAAGCTATATATATGACAACCTACTACCATGCTTATATTATTGTAAACTTAGTTACCAAACATGCTTTTCACCTGCAGCAGTACTGGCCCACTGTAAGTGAGAGAACAAAGTCCATGTCCCAGTTCTGGCCTTTTTCCCTTTGGCTGCTGGGGCAGTGAGTGACGGAGGTAATAGTAACATGCTCAGCACCTGGAGGGAAAAAGTGCCGCATGTCCCACACCAATAATTATGAATCCTTAAATCTACTGGAGTCATTACAGAAGGCATGGCACTTTAATCCCTCATTTAAATAAGCACAGCCATTATGTAGATGTTTGGTTACTTTGCTCAGTTTCCACATCTAAAGAAAAAAAGAAATCTTGCAATTCATTTTGAAATGCAAATCATCATTGCCTTCTCTCTTCTTGGTCTGCTGCAGCTTGGCAATTCTTAACACAGCTAACAGAGCATTGCCTATACTACAACACAGGTAGCATTGCAAGTACACACTTATCATCACCTGACTCCTTCACAGCAGAAATTAAGAACATGGCATTCAAAACCACTTTCAAGCGAGAGAGAAGAATGTGCTACCCTATCAACACGTTACGGGGCAAAGACACAGCCATACATACAGAACAGCAATATCTTTTCCTTACTCGGTTTTACTTGCTCTTCTATTCCAGCATCTTCAGAATCAGACAGCTCTTTAATGAAGTTGGAAGGAAACATTCCAGTCTTTCCATTGAGTATACCTTCCCACCATCCCTCTTCCACCTGCACCAAAACAAAACCAAGAAAACAAGGAGGTTAATATAACAACCACTTTACAGAATTAAATTGTGTATATGATTTTCAGTAACAATGACAGTAACAATTTTGAGCAGTTTGTATTTATTTCAGGTATAAGGAGCACATGACATAGGCTCCAAGCCAGAAAATACTTCTTTTTTTTTTTTTTTTTTAATGTAAAATCAAGAAAGATGCATGCACCCATCTGTAAATGTCAGCAGTGCTGACAGGAGTAAGAAGCATGGATGAGCATTAAATAAAAGGATTAAAAAAAAAACAAAACACAAACTAGAGAGCACACAGTGTCTCTACATTGAATTTTTTATGGATATCAGTTCAATCACTAAATTTGCTGTGCACACTGTACTCTTACTCATCTTCTTGATGCGATTTGCAGATAAGACTTTAAATTCATTAAGCAATCAATGGCCAAAGAGAGATGCCTGCAAATGGCTATTCAGAAAATCTAAACTAGGTATCTTAGTATATATCATGTGAATATTCTTGGCTTCCCCATCAAAATCAGAAATTCTCTATTTTGAAACTTAAGAATGTTGCTATATCATTAATGTGTTAATGTAAGTAATCTATGGAGAACAAAGAACAATGCAAATGCATATTTGACTCTAGCTTTACAAAATGCTACTGAAATACACAACAATGACACGGTCAGGAGGAGGAGAGACACTTCCTAGGCCAATCCCAAGAGAAAATACCACTTAAAATTTACAAATTCCACCCTGTATAATCCATTCAGGGTTGAATGGTGGTGTCAGGCAGTGAAACGACAGCCCTCAGAAACCAGATGCCTTTAGGTTATAAAGGGACAGGAAGAAATTACTTATACGCATCAGCCAAACACACCCTTGACATATAAATAATTTTCATCTGTCAGACACTGTCAATTCACAAAAAAAAAAAAAATGACGGGGAAGGACAGTTTCAGTCTGTGACACATCAATCACTCTCCAATAATGTTTGACCCTCCTCTTTTTGCCCCACAAAAAAAGATGAAAATAGAATTTTGACTTTACAAATTGAGGGTATTCACATCTACTGCCAAAAAAAACAACCCCACATCTTAGATGATATTACAGAAAAAAAAATTCCAACTTGCTTTGTATCACTTATCTGTGAACATCTCAACTCCTTAGAAAACAGATTTCTTAATACAAGCAAGTATTTCCTTAAACTACAGAGGAATGGCTGGGATTTGTTTTTTTTTCCAACTTAGCTACATGTACTATTTCACTACGAAGAAAACTGTTGTTACTTCAGGAGTGTTTCTTGTGCTTTTTCTCCATCTTCAACCATTTTACCACATTTCTTGTCTTCCTGGTTTGATCTGCTTTTTTTTGGTTTGAAAGCAATCCAGACCAGCACAGCTACACAGCTACATCCATTTAATCTCAGTACCTGCCCATAACAAAATTGCCCCCTTCTTTCTCCCTGCCAAATCCATCAGCAATATTAGTGAGCTCAGAAGCAACTCTGGGAAGAACAGCTATTTTCTTCTTTCTACTTCAGAGCACAGAATACATATAAATCACTCACTTCAGTAGACTGCAGGTTTTCCACATTAATATCAAAGTCTCTAAAAGGCAATATTTGCTTTTCTTCTCTCCAGACAAATTAAAAAACATTTGGAAAACTGAAACTGCATGACACACAACACTTAGTAGACTCTACAAATTATATCTCTAAATACCTATATATGATATGTTGTTATATAGAAAATACACAAATAACCAAGACTCTCCAAGCTATATTTCCATTTTTCTAATGCAGTATACCCAGATGGCTCTATTGATTTGAACTAAATATTAAACCATAACTGCATTAGCTGATTGACCAGAAGATTAATCACAGGAGAATTACACAGATCTCAAGATCCCTGTTTTTTGCAAGATGTTGAGATTACTTGACAGAAAGAAGGTGAACAATATAATCAGTTCCATCTTTCTCTCTAGTAATTTTCCTCTGCTTACTTCTTCCAGGGTAACACTTCACAGTTTTCTTACAACATTAGCATTCTTTGTGTAGCATGTTTATGTATGGGTCTTTATGTATGTGTATAGAAGTCCACATAGACAAAGGTAAATCTAAATTTGATGTGAATATACTTACAGCATTCATTAGCTTACTATAAGTTTTCCAGCTGATACAAGAATGAATTCTCTGAAAACACAATGTCACATTCAGTAATTTTACAAATTTAGAAAAACCTAAAGGAAAACCCAGCTTTTTTTCCACAAGAAAATCTGGAATTGTGTTAGCAAGACATTAGAGGTTGAAGTCAAACTGGGCCTCCCACAGATCTATTAGGAAATTTTCATCAAAAGCATCAAAACTTTAAGTATTTTTAAACACTATAGCTACATGCTACATACCTTTAAGCCTCAAAACACCAGCTAGAGATTAATCCATACACTAAAGAAGACATTAAAATACCCCTGGGGTTTAGTTATCCCAAAATGTGTCAATCCATTACCATATGGTTTGAAATGTTGCAATAATTCCCAGCAAATAAAACCTCACAAAGGAAAACCCATTGTTCATGGGGGTAATCCATCTGGAGGTACAAGCACTCAATAAAATTTGTTACTATACTATTATAACAAAGTGCTCTCAGGATTTATACATCAAGGTCCTGATTCATGCCCAGAATTTATAGGCCAGACCAAACAATCTAAAAGGAGAATTTCATTCAGTAGTCCATGTCCCTATCCCAGAAAAGAAGTTCTACTATTCATAGTACCCTACATATAAATCGTTAAGTTAAGCCTGAAAACAAAGATACCGTTTTTAAATCAGAAAAAAAATGGCTCCAATCTGGAAGAGGTTGCCCAGAGAGGGGGTAGATGCCTCACCCCTCAACATATTCAAGGTCAGGTTGTAAGGGGCTCTGAGCAACCTGGTCTGGTTGAAGAAGTCCCTGCAAACTATTCTGTAATTCTGCCAAATGTAAGTGGCCGCAGCTAGAGGCATTTTCAAGACACGTTTTCAGTGTGTTATCTGTTCACTGCCTTTCAGAGAGACATGGCACACTCTCATTTTGCCAGGCCTCTAGGCTGCCAATACTACTGTCACACCACATTTGAAGAGCAACAACACAGAGGAAAGTTACTGAAGATAATTCATTGCTCCATTTAATGTATTTAGGGAGGTGACAACTCATGCACCCAACTGCAACTCAGTCAGTGCCATGCATGGGGCAGGGACAGATGCAATAAGACAGCTATATGTGGTCTAATGCCTGGATTTGATTGAACAAGATACAGATGACAGTATCACCAGAAAATGGTGCATCATCTCTAGAGAAATGCAACCCATTAAGAAGCCTTGCCTTTGGATTTACAGAGAAATTTTATCTATACAATAACTACGCAACATTCAAGTATTCTGCCAATATCACTGGGCTTTGGGTTTTTTTACATTTTCAGTGAAGAAAAAATACTTGTATTTTGGTTTTAATTGAATTAACCAATAGAGCTTTTTATGCAAATCAGGGGTTAGAAACTATAAACCAAATGCAGATTAAAATAACGCAAAATGTATTCGTATAATTTATTAGGGAGTATTTAATGAAATTGGTAGATCCCTGCACACAATGACAACCCAGACTAGAAAGACACTAAGAGGTTGTAATAGTAAATTTTACTTACAAATAATGATATAAGTAAGAAATGATAATTAAGTGCTCAAAACAGATACAGTGGAAGTGGACACGCAGGACAATAACACAGGGAATTATATGTGTGAGACATTCAGACACATAAAGAAGTTCTCAAGGGGGTACAGAGATGCTATGACATTCAGCTGCTTAGAAATCAACAAAAATTACTGAATTCAGCCTATTTCCATGTTTAAAGAACAACTAAAAATTAAAAAAAAAAGAAAGAAACAAGAAAAAGGAAAATAATATGACAGTAGTTCAAGCATTCAGGAAAACATTATAGTTCTACTTTAGACCAGGAATGCAGTTTTATTCTGTAACTGTAAAGGAACCAAAGAAAATATAATCACGTTAGTAGGCCACTAGGTATACAAGATTAAGATCTTCTAAAAGTGAGGAAATGTTACTTTTTATGTTATTTAGGTTTTCTCTTCATGGCCAGTAAATACAATTTGCAACATCCCCCTTTAAATAAAGAAATGTCAGAGAGAGCATCAGACTGACCTGGAGTGCAACAAATGTTGTTGCTATAAGCCTAGAAACCCCTTCCCTTGAGGGAACTGGATGGCCAACCCTGTACCTTCAGGATGGGATACCCAAAAACAGCAGAAAGTGCTGACGTCAGCTACCAGCAGTTGCTTGCCAGAATATTTAGGTCTGCCACAGCTTCTTGCTTACACCTTGTTATATAATTAATAGGCCAAAGTTGTTATATGATCCATTCTATAAATATATAAGCAGTTTGTCTGCAGGAAGTTCGATGGTGCTACTAGGCTGAGAAAGTTGGGGCTGTTCAGCCTGGAGAAGGCTGTGTGGAGACCTCATAGAAGCCTTCCAGTATCTGAAGGTGGCCTACAAGGATGCTGGGGAGGGACTTTTCACTAGGGACTGTAGTGATATACAAGGGGTAATGGGTTCAAACTTAAACAGGGGAAGTTTAGATTGGATCTAAGGAAGAAGTTCTTTACTGTAAGGGTGGTGAGGCACTGGAATGGGTTGCCCAACAAGTTGTGAATGCTCCATCCCTGGTGGTGTTCAAGACCAGGTTGGACAGAACCTTGGATGGCATGGTTTAGTGGGAGGTGTCCCTGCCCATGGCAGGGGGTTTGGAACTAGATGATCTTAAGGTCCTTTCCAACCCTAACTATTCTATGATTCTATGATAAAAAATCTGCAGCTATTTGGAATCACTGGCACTAACTTAAACTGGCCTTTAGTTTCCAATACACTCCTGTATCTGCCTGTTTCACAAGATTTTCTACAACCTGTAGCTTTGCCTATTAGGCTGGTAGACTACTTCCAGCTCACA